TTCAGTGTTTTATTGTTACATAAAATGAATTTCCATAAGTAACGGTCGAATCCATCAATTATTCAAATGTAGTTGCTACGATATCTTGTTGATTGTTGATTGCTTGGGAAATGTGGATTTGAAGAAGAACAAAGTTATCAAGAGTAGACCGATGAACTCACAAGCTGGATTGAGTGTCGGAAATAATATTAGGTATGCTTTTCAAGGAACCAAATGAGTCTTTTATTTATCATTTTTTCAAGTTTGCAGGTTACACAAGTGAGAGAAATCGGACGAAAAGATTTAGGAGTTATAGAGGTCAGGTTTTTTAATTGAAGTGATTATAGAATTGCGCCTAATATCTGGGAATTTATGTGTGTTTCAGATAAGATGATGAATTTCGAGGAGAAGTTTGGAAAAAGATGTATTGGAGAGATTTTTTAAAAAAATTTTCAAATTTTTTTTCAAAAAACTATTTTTGAAACATCTTAATTAAGCTGATTAGGCGATGATCTGGCGAACGCAGCTACTGGTATTGTGCTTCTTTAAAATTGCTACGAATGGTGACTTCAGCCGATGTTTTTAAAGAGTTTGTATAGGTTCTTTTGCGCTTAACATCCTATTACAAAAATGGCGTGACCAAAAAAAAGATGTATTCGTGCGCTTCGAAAAGGCATTCGATAAAGTACAGCATGTAAAATTAATGCAAATAATGAAAAATATCGGAATATATGACAAGGATATTCGTGTCCTTAAAAATTTGTACTGGAATCAAACTGCTATAGTAAAAATTGGAGATAACTACACCGAGGAAATCTCCATACAACGAGAAGTCAGACAAGGTTGCATTTTGTCGCCAACATTGTTCAATGTTTACTCGGACCAGTTATTTAAAAAGGCACTTGAGAGACAACCATATGGAATATAAATCAACGGGGAACTACTTAATGTGATTAGATAAATTTGGACCGGAGTCCAAGTTGAGAAAGTTCACAAAATGATATATTTGGGAACTGTGATAACGGACCAAGTAGATCCAGACATAGAAATAAAACGTAGAATAGCAATGACTAAAGCTACTTTAGTAGTTTAGAAAATAAAGTCATTTCTTTGCAATAATCATCTTTTAGTTTAGAACTAAGACAAAGAATGGTTAAGGTGCTATGTTTGGTCTGTACTTTTGTATAGTGCAGAAGTCTGGACGCTAAAAGTATCGATCATGAACAAAATTGAAGCATTGGAAATATGAGTTCATACACGAATGCTTAAAATACCTTGGACAGCAAGGAAAACTAATGAAGAAGTACTAAGGAGCGTCAACAAAGATAGAGAACTGCTAAAGACTGTTAAACATCCAAAAATGTCTTATCTGGCTCATATAGTAAGGAAAAGTTGATATAAAATAGTAAAACTGATCCATAAAAGCAAAAAAAGAGGGCCGTGGAGGTGTAAGAAGAACATAACTTTCTTGGTTAGTTCAAGATAGGTTCTTGATATTGAAGAATTTAACTATTTCTTCATTTACTTCGTCGGTCCTACAGCTTTATTAGTTTTTAAACCTGCAATAGCATATTCAACTTCTGATTCTAATATAGGTAAGCTAGTTAAGTTTGTATTTTCATTCGTAGTAACAATCGTCAGAGAAAATGTCGAGGATTTGTCAGAGTTTGCATATTTAGTTTTGATCTGTGATGATGTTATTGTTTTTTGTTATTTTTGAGAAGTTACATTTTCTAGAGGAGTTCTTTATGAAGATCTTATTTAATTGGTTTATTCGTATTGCAATCTATACTGCTACATATTTGATATGAGTATATAAAATGAGTTTAATGTTTAATATGCTCTTCTTATCGAAAATTTATATAACATATAATATAATTGCAAGAGCATATGAGTATATATAGCTAAATCCATGCAGGTGTTACAGTAAATTGATAAAACATTAAACGATATTAAAAAACGGATCTACTACACGATATATATCTTTCTAATTGTGAAATGTGTTATTTTTAATATCCCTTATCAATTACCTAAATCTTGGGCAATGACACTGGCTGTTATCTGTCTGAAATATCAAAGGTAATCGTGAATATCAAGAACTGGCACAATTTTTTTGGGTTTATGTAGGTTAATTACGCAATCGATGTAATTATATAACGAACACTTGATCTTGATTTGATCAGAAACTGAAGGTTGCACTGTTGGTTGATTTTATTCACGAATTCGTACGAGAGTTTCATTCATATATGATATAGGAAAGTGTTTGCGATCTGCATTGAGTCTCTTACTAATTGTAATAAGAAATGTACCTTTATAACACGTTTTGGACGTAGCTTTCTATAGTACATTTTATTATTTAAAAATTGTGACTAGAAAAAGTGAAATCGTGAACAGATTCAAGCACTAATTAACTTAAACTAATTTGATAAGACACTTTCAAATCCTTCATTGATAGTAGATCTTTATAACAGTAACAGTATCATAAAATATAAGGAATATCACACAATTTTCTGAGAGGAAGTTAGCTCTACAGATACAAATAAAAGTGACTGGTACAGAGATGTCATAGGACTGTTGAATGTTCTCAAGAGAGAATGTCTTGACAAACAAATTAGTTCAAATTTGTGTCTATGCTGAACATGTTCCACGAAGAAAAGTGCGATACACAATTCAAAAGAAAAGTCAAAGTCAAGGAGTTGTACTAGAAGACAAAAATACATCGTATTTTGAGTTGTATCAATTGTATGAAAAATGCAACATCGTCCGGTCTATTAAAATTAATAGACTAAGGTGGCTAGGACACCTTGAAAGAATGGACACTGGAGATCCCCAAAGACAGATATTATAACAAGAGCCAGTAGAAACCAGAAAGAGAGGCAGGCAAGATCTAGATTCAAAATTCAAGTCGAAGATGACTTGAGGAATCTAGGGGTCAGAAATTGGAAAGCCAGGGCGAAAGATAGGAAGGGAATGAAGACTAATTATTGAACAAGCTAAGACCCACCCAGGGTTGTAGAGAAAGATGATGATGATGAACTTAACTTAAGTCGTGACTGGCAATGTTGGTGATAGAAATTACGAAAGTCTTTGTCCAAGGTGCCAACTATAATTTTCAATGCAGAACTCTGCGATATCCGGTGTATATAAAAGATTCATCTCGTATAACATGTAAAATCTCTTAAAATATTCAAAATCTGACCATCTAACCACAGGATGCTAAATTTATGTTAGTTAGGATCTAAACTTACAGATCTGAGCCTCAAACCGCCAACCGTGTATATAAACCTTATACTACCAATAGTGAACAGGTGTCGCAAATATTAATTAATGCATTAACATCTGTGATATAACCTGCTGCAACTTATATTACAGGAAAAACTCTACGGAAAGAGGGGACCAGGAAGAAGAAGAATATCTGGGCTCCAGAACTTACGAAAATGGTTTTCCTTGACCACTTATTTCGAGCTGCGGTCAATAAAGTTAGAATTGCCATGCTAGTTGCCAACATCCGTAACGGATAGGCACCACAAGAAGAAGAAGAACATCTGTGGCATCTAATAGGACAACCTGTATTAAACCTGGAACAACCAAAGGCAAAACTTGGGATCACTCTGATGTTATGTAGAAGAAATCGGGTGACCTTTCCCCATTTACGCTTACGCCATATCAAACTTAGCTCACATACTTTCAACTTTTAAGTACATATGTAAAAGAAACATCCATCACTCAGGTGTGAAATTATTGAGTATTCAGGGATAGATTGGGCATGTATGGAGACAAGAATATCTTGATCTTTGATTGAGAAACCTTAGACAATGGTGCTCTTACAGTTCCTTTACAATTTGCTCTTACAATTTAACTGTTTGGGACAACAGCCTTAAGTCGAAGATAACATTCATAGCGGAGATTTACACGCTAGCATTCATACCGGAGAGCATAAATGCACGTACTTCTCTCTTCAAATGGACGAATCCACAGATATATCTAACTGTGCCCAATTCATTACCTTTGTAAGATATGATACAAATAATGGCATTCAAGAAGATATTTTATTTTGTTCCCCATTGGAGACCAATACCACTGGAAAATGTTTACTCGACACTTTTGTGAAACGTACAAGTAAATATGATATTGACTGGGGTAAATGTATTGCTATATGCACAGATGGCGCTAAAGCAATGACAGGACATAAATCTGGTCTTGTCGTCAAATTACAAGAAATAATTCCTAATGCCAAATGGACACATTGTTTTTTACATCGAGAAGCTCTTGCGTCCAAAGCTTTACCTCCTGAAATGGACTGTGTTATGAAAACCATCATTAAAGTTGTAAATGCCATTAAAGGAAAAGCTTTGCAGACCCGTATTTTTCGAAAAATTTGCGAAGACATGGGTGCTTTATTTGAAAATCTTCTCTATTACATCGAAGTAAGGTGGCTTTCAAGGGGCAACGTCTTAAAAAGAGTATTTCACTTAAGAGCAGAGCTTTTAATGTATTTGAAAGATGAGAAGTCCCCATAGAAAATCAATTTTCCGATCCTATTTGGCTTCTGAAACTAGGTTTCCTTGCTGATATTTTCGAGCAATTAAATATTTTGAACAGTAATTTACAAGGTCGCGACATTAAAATAATTACAGCTACAGATAAAATTAAGGCGTTTCTAAGAAAAATCGATTTATGGTCGACCTCACTGGCAAAAAACAACTCGATTCATTCCAGTGCCTTCAGGAAATTATGGAAAATGTATACAATTACAGTGCTACAAATTTTGAATAAGTTTTTGCTGGCATGCATGTTACTTTGCTCAATTTAAAACAACAGCTCTGTGATTATTTCCCCGAAGAAATTCAAAACAGTTACGACAGTTGCAGATGGATACTAAAACCGTTTTTTTTTCAGCATGTTGAAATACCAATAAACATGAAAGAAAAACTTATTGAAATATCAAGTGATAGAATGTTGAAGCTCCAATTTTTTTTCCAGAACTCGGACCAATTTTGGACCGAAAAGATGCAGGAATACCCCAATTGGCGAGTGAAGCTGTAAAATGTTTGGTTCCATTTGTAACATCATATTTGTGTGAGTTAAGTTTCTCGTCTATCACTGCCATTAAAACAAGAGTTAGAAATCGTCTCGTACTTGAAAATGATTTTATATTTGTGTGTGTCTCAAATACACAGCCTAGATTTGAAAGATTAGTTTCACAGAAACAGGCGCATAGCTCTCATTAAGATTATAATATTTGACTATGTTTTACTCTTTTATTTTTACGGACTTTAATATTTAGTTTTATATTTCGTCTGATAATTAATTGTTAATTTCTATTTACGGCGTTGTTAAAATAAAAATATAAGATCTAACAAAGTGGTGCTTTTGTATTATTTTGGAAATGTTCGGCGACCCCCCTAGTACCTCATGGCGACCCCCCAGGGGGTCGCGACCTCCACTTTGGGAAACACTGTTTTAAATGAATGTCCATGGGATGATTGGCTCTGTATAGTTTATAATTTGACACCAGATATAGTAGCCATTTTAGAATCATCGTATTATCAGCAATTTACCTTAGAGGTATTAATAGACTTTGCCAAATGTTGACGTACTAGAATTAGATAACAATATTATTTAACAATGGATTACAATGCGGCTAACTACCTGTTATGGACGAGTAAAAAAATTTTAAATAAAAAAAAATAAGTCAACCCAATGATTCATGCAAAATTCGTGTATTTTTATGCTATTTTTAATCTGCCTTTCCACATTTTTTATCAACCTAATCTTTCTACAAAATCTACTTTAAAGCACAGACGCCTCGGCAGCGCGCGTGGCGGAATTATTATTATTATTAGTAATATTGTTATTCGAGGCAGCGTTAGATATCTCGCCGGCATGACTCGAACAGTAAAACTTTTTGTGAGCCACGAAAGTCGAGTAGTAGTTGAAGTAAATGTCACAAGATTTGCAGTACCTGGCCCCGGATTTGGCGGCTTCTTGGAGAATTTCCTCGTCCGGTGTTTTGCTCTTAGGCAACTTTATTCCCACCTCCTCTTTAATGATGGGCTCTTCACCTTGCGCGATGATCACCTCTGGTTCCATGGCTTCCTTTTTCACTAAGATTTCTTCCTCGTCTTCCTCCAGCGCAGGCATGGACTTGTTTTTGTCGGACAAGCCGTTGACTGCTGCTTCTTCGGTTATGTTAATGTCGTGAACCAGTTTCATATGGCGAACTACGTTGGCTTTGTATGTCGAGTTGTAGGAACACTGCAGGCAGTAGTGCAGTGAATCCGGAAGGGATGGTTCGGTTCCTGGGGAGGCGACCTTTTCGTCAGACGGTTCCGCTGTAGTTACGTTGACTTCGACTGTATTGGAGCTCTCATCTTCCAGTATATAGGAGATGTACTTTTCCTCCTGAAACAAAAAAAAAACATTTAAAACAACAAGCAAATAACAAATGTAAACGTTTTAACTCAATGATATACATACATCGAAACTAGTTGTTATTCTTATCTAATCTAGTTGCAATTGTGTTAACCAAAATATGAAATAATATGCCAATATATGAAATAAAATACCAGGAAAGATGTGCGAAGTATTAAAACAGTGGTAGCGACTTTCAGCAAATAAATAATTTCCTTTTCTAAATGTGAATTTTTGCATTTTACTTCATATTTTCGAAACGGTCAAAGATAGGTATAGGTCATTGTATTTAAAAATGTCTAAAATGATTTTAGGAATCTAAAAATTAATTAATATACAGTGTGTTCTATTTAAAATAAGCAAGTTGGTATTGGCCACCGCTATCTGATACACCCCGTATAAAAAGTTTATATGGAAAAAAAAATGCGCAACTATAAATACTAATCGACATGTTCGACCGTTTTTTCGAATACTCCCTTATTTATTTATTAGCTAATTCATTCCATTTGACTGACACACAGTGTATACAATTTTATAAACTCGTTTTCATCGTTCTTGGCGTGTACCTGAAATAAGCTACTACGGAATTTTTAATATTCGTCTCTCTCTGATACACAGATGCGTAATTCAATTGTGCTAGTCACGTTCGTCATGGTAAAGTGCGATGAGAAGGGAATGAAGAGACCACTCACGTCTCCCAGTATTGTAGCAATAACACCGATGCGTTTGGCCGATACGGTGTCGGTATAAGTTCGGCCTCTTTACGAATACAGATAGCTGGCAGTGACGTGTTTTTTTTTAACATGTTACCCTGATCTGTGCAGGTTTGAAGTAGCTGATGAAATAGTTTTTATAAGTAAACAGTTTTTAATTAGTTAATAGTTTGAGCTCTTACTGTGTGGAATTCCATTACATAAATTAATACTCTCGACACCTTAAAAATTCCAGTTTATTATAAATTAACTCTCTCTCTTCCGACACCCATTGCAATAATGACTTGTGGCATTGTTCTTGAATGAGCTGGCTAATAAGTTTATAATTGTAGCAATTACCATTGATATTTTATGTTGTTTTAGTCGATTTTAGTCAGTCATTGTTTGAATTTGTTCCGAACAGTTTTACTTATTATTTTTTGTTGTGAATAACTAATTGTTCTATTTAATAAAAAAAAAATGCCGGGAAAAACGATAACAGGAGAAATGCGACAATGTGTAGTTCATTTATTGGAGTATTTTAAAAAAGAAAAAGAAAACAACGAACCTTTGCTTTCGTTATCATCAGTACATGAACGAGTAGCGGACGCTTTGAAAATAAGTCTTCGCACAGTGACAAGAATAAAGAGTGAATACAATACAGGGGCAGCTCTTACTACACCAGGAGAGTCAAGTAATGTACAAAAAAAAAAGACTAATGATGTCAGCAATACTATAAAAGGAGAGATTAGAAATGTACTGTATGGCATGAAAGCAAAAGGAGAGCACGTTACAATTAAAGTTCTAAATGCACAATTAAGAAAGAAGCATCTCTATGACGGTTCTGATACAAGTTTGTGGCGTCTTATAAAAAATGGTGGATTTTCAAACAAACTAGAAAATAGTAGACGAGTGCTATGTGAGAAACCATGTATTGTCTCCAAACGACTGTATTTTTTGAGGCATTATATGAGAAATTTTTTAAGTCCAAGCCCACTTCAGTTCGTTTTTTTAAAAGAAACATGGATATTCCTAAAAGGGGCATATAAACGTACTTGGCAAGATGACTGTGTGAAAAGCATCAGAAAAGGACAAGAAAAACAGGTAAACGCTTTGTTGTTTTACATGCCGTATCATGATTCTATGGATAAAGAGTCTTTTAAAAAGTGGGTCTCCGAAAAGCTGATACCAATGTTGGAGGAACCATCTCTAATTATTATGGATAATGCCTCATACCATAGCTATTTAGAAAAGTTACCGAATGCCAGTTGGAAAAAATCGGATTTACAAGAATGGCTACGAGCGAAATAAATAATTTTTGACGTCGATTCGGGCAAGACAGAGCTATTGAGTCTTTGTCGCCAGAATAAACCACAAAATACCAGGTACGTTATAGACGAGCTACTCCAAGAACATGGGCATCAGGTTTTGAGATTGCCTTCATATCACTGTCAATATAATCCGATTGAGTTGGTCTGGGGCATTTGTAAACAATACTATGATCGTCATATTGGAGAACATGGACGTGGAGATGAAACAGTAAAAAAAGTTTGGGGCGATGCATTAGCTGAGGCAACACCTGCTGATTAGCTAATTAATCAAGGTCAGTACGTTGTAACAGTTCAAAATTCGCTACAGTGCTTAAAACTTAAAAAATCTGTATCATTTTTTAATTAAAGTGGGTTAAATAATTAACACTTTTTTGGGTATATTTCAAAATCCTTTTAAAATGTACTTTTCGTTATATCCTGTCCTATTGTACTGCAAGCTAGAAAAATACTTCTTCGCAATTTATACGTATATTCCGTTATTAGAAATTTAATGAAAAATAATTTATAATTTTTTTCCGTTATTAGAAATTTATTGAAAAATAATTTATAATTTTTTTTATAACTATTATTTCGTTTGACATGCTACATTTTGCTCCGCTACTGGAGGAGGTAAACCAATCGAGCTTAGACAAGGAAAGACAGATGAAACAACTTATTGCAAGTGTTTTTACACGCATACGCCAAGAACGATGAAAACGCCTATATAAGGTTTTAACTGACGTGGATAAATATAGTTCCGTGTTCCTTCATACGTTTTTTTTAAAATAAATTCTTTCTGTCTGACCTATATATCACATTTGAGTGATACCTTTGTATGACCTTTGGGAATGTACTAAAAGTAGTCTTATATACTCGCCAACTTCGATTTTATCGTCTCCTTTTTTATAAGTGTTTTTATTGTGGATTTACTCAAAAAGTATAGGTTTTTAGAACTGTGTAAATCTCATTTTCTTCGAGCAGTTTGCAACCTTCCTAATCGGTTGTGGTATAGGTACATATTTTGAGTAGTAACTTTCTAAATCATACGAAGTTGTTAGCAGCAACGTCTATATGTTCGATCTGGTTTATATTCAATGGCGCTGAAGCTAATAAACAGTATTGGGAAGGTCATGGCAAATAAAAACTTACTTTTATGATAAAATTGATATTTACTTTGGCTGTTGGAAGAATATGTATAGTAAACAATAGTAACGTCAATATTTAAATCAACGATGTGCACAATAATATTACTAATAATTTGAAAAGTGAATTCTGTTGTTAAAAAAAAAAAAACAAACCGATAAAAATGTCACAAAAGAATTATGAAAACCATAAACCACAACGATTCATCGTTCTTCGAGCGTAAAAATTTAAAAATGACAATAAATAAATTTTTTAATGCTTTGATATATTTGTTCGATAAAAAAATATGTTTTTTGTTTGTTACCACACTTTCAATTGCATGCTGTAATTCGCTTATCGCGTATTTTAATCTGGTTTTAATATTTATCTAAACAATCTCGTAGAGACTCTAAAATATTAATCCTATCGATTAAATCCACGTCATTTTATCAACGTGTGGAACAAAAGCATCTAATAAAAGCATTTGAAAAAATTGTTTTCATTCGGGAAATATAAAAAATCGAATCGAATCTACTTGTTGATAGGTTTCTATCCTGAATCTCGAAAAGCTATAATTTGTGATAATACAAAAGAACTTAATAGGTGTTTGGTATTTATTCTGACAAGAATTAGAATTTTTCCTCTGAAGGGAAACAAATTAGACTGTTTTTTGCTCCATCTTTTGCGCGGTCGTCGATACTTCTTCTGCCTACTTCTCTCTTACAGCTTGCTATTTTGACGATACAGGTCTCTTCCATTCTGCTTACATGGTTATTCCACTTTTTTCTACTACTCCACTATATTTTAATGTCTACACTTCTCTTTCGATCTCTCAGCGTATTTCCTGTAAATCTTCTGACTGAATATTTAGGGGAACTAGGGGAAGATGGATTACATCTTTGAGACTTACTCTGCCAAACGCTTTCTTTAGGTCAATCAGACACAGAAATGCTGGTCTATTAAACTCTACTGATTTCTCAGTAATTTGCATAATAAAGAATATTGCAATTATTATCTGTATACGATCTTTCACTACGAAAACCGTGTTGTTCATCTGCTTAAGTCTGTTTTCCGAGAATAATTTCAAATAATGAAAAGTAGGTTCCCATTTGATTGTTTTAATCTTCTACTCAGTGATACAATTGCTATGGGGAATGATTCTCAATAGCACATTAATTAAACAGTATTTTATCTGTACAATGTTCACGAGTCATTAGGTTGGAGTCCGTCATCATCATCATTCTGGATTTACAACCCTGCGTGGGTCCTAGCCTCCTGAAGAATTTTTCTCCAGTATTCCTCCGCCAAGCACATTTTCCCATTCATCGATGTTTTCAACAAACCGTGTTCTGAGTATTCTTGTTTTTCTATGACCAATGAGTCTATCAAGGAGCGTTTATCTAGCTGAGTCAGTTTTTTCTATCCGCATTACTCGCCCTACCCACTCCTAACCTTTATCTAGTTTCTGGTACATTCTATTAAGTTCGAAGTTTTATCTTCTCCACACTCCATTGTCATTCAATGCTCCATAGATTCGCCTTCGTACTATTCTTGCACTTTTGCTCTATCTTTATTATTTATTTGCCAGCATTCTGTGAATATAGGTTCAAAATAGTTTGATATCTGATAGATACCTATATTTTTGATCTGTGCTAATGTAAATCTTGGTAATTATAGAATTTATTTAAGTATTTCTATACAGGTCTTTCCCTTCCCTAACATCCTTATCTGCGTTTCCAATATTTATATAATCTTCCCCCGCGTGAAGGCTCCAGTACAATATTTTCACAGTTTGTCCTGATCGTCGTAAAAGGCGACAAATTGGAGCAGCTGTCCGCTGACCATTACCCAAGTCCTATATTGTAACTGTGTAATAGTATGGACTGACGATCTTAAGAGAACGGCAGGAAAGGCCTGGATGCAGATCGCCCAAAATAAAGACCAATGGAGATTAACAGGGGAGGCCTATGCCCAAGAGTGGGCGTTTAAGGTTGATTAGATAGATAGATAGATAGATCATACGACACCCACTCCTGCCCGTCATATACGTCCTGATAGCCAAATCTATACCCGAGGAGAAAACCTTCACGAATATAAACCAGTGGAGGAAACCACTGAAAACAAAAGATATGCATAGGGCAGGCGACTATGCATAATCCTAATATACCGCTTTCCCAACCTCGAGGTATAATACCATCGTGACAAAGGGGTGCACGGCTCCAGGGTAACAAGCAAAGTGGAGGAAAATAAGGGATAAGATGTACCAAGGAAGTTTGTGTACATGACATCCAGAGGCATGCAGATCAACATGGAATCCTCGAAAGTTAGAATGTGGCGACAATGGGGGATTCAGGTGGACCTAGAGAACCCAGAAGCCCTTAAAAAAAGGGTAGATGCTATCGCGGACAAGATGGCAACATGCAAGGACGAGAAGGAAACAATAAAATTTCTAAAGGAGACTGGCCGGAGGAGGTCTTCAAGTGAACCATAGTAAAAGAAGGAGACCATTTGGTCACCTGCATTCAAAATGTGATGTTGGTTCTTAATTAATATTTCCTTTATTTGTGAGAGATACATATTTTCAACTTTTTTTAAATCTAACTGTATGTAAACATCTGTATGTACTAACAAATCTCCTCTTTGTTACAGCATCCAGTACCGTGCCGGGTAGTTATTATCGGTAAAGGTAAGAGTATGTTTGTGGTGGAGATCTGAGATACATAATAGTTTAAAATATAAAACGAAACACAAAATTAGTGATATAAAAATTTAAGATCAAATACTGAAATATTTATTAGATGTAGGGACTCCACAGTGCAAGAGTTAGAGTGTGATTTTGATTACTGCTAGATGGGATCATTGACAGTTTCTGGGTCAATAAGGGTGACTAATCTGTGAGTCTTTCTAGACTCTTGGGTAAGTTGTTCGCGGCTGATCCAGGTAATTCCAAAAAGTTGTCTAAAAATTAAATTTCATATGAAGAAAGAAGTGGAAATGAAGAAGTGGGATAAAAAAAGATCAAAGAAATGAGGCGAAAAATATAATCGGTAACTTACAAGAAAATTATATAATAACAGCACCACAAGTATTGATTAGGAATTATCAAAATTCTCTCTTTAGACAACTTAATGGATAACTAATAGAAACTGTTTTGTGATGGTGTGTATATATGTCAGAATGAGTTGGTCGTCGCCGAGATCAGAAAATGTCCGGAGTGATTCACATGAACTAGGGTTGAAAGGATGCTAAGTAAGGCCAGTTTACGAGTGATGGATTCTGATACAGATCAGCAGAAGAGAATATATGGTTCTACGTAGATTTTGTTAAAGGTAAGTTGTAACAGTATTTTTTATTGTTATTAAAGTGGAAAGTCCTGCACTAGTTAGTTGAATAGATCTGATTAGTAAAAGTCGTCCTGTCGTAAAAGTCGTCGTTATTAAAAGTACGCAAATTTCAAACAGTTGTAAAATTTCATATGTAACGATTGGATACAGGCCAAATATCAACAAAAATAGCCAAACACATAAAAAAGAAAGAAATATCACCAGCTTTCAGAATAAACAACAACTTAAAGCAAAATATATTAAAAACGACAAGAACCAAAAGAAAAAGCAATTACGCAGTGTGGTGTACAACCTTACATTCTGGGGACTGCCCAAAAACTTACATCGGTCAAACTGGTAGAATCTTTAAAAATCGTATAGCAAAACATAAAAAAGCTTTTAACTTCGGGTTTTACATTGTCAGCCCATTTTCAGGTCTCCGATAAAAGGTTACTTAACCAATGAGGACACAAAGAAAATGGCAGCCTATTTGTTCAATTTTGCAAGACTTAAGATGTTTATATGTTTTCTTAAGAAAACATATAAACAGTAGAAAATACTAGTTGTATATTTACTATGGCTGTTGTTGTTATTAAATAAATGTTTTTGATTTAAAAAAAATACTCTAACAGGAAGAAACAACACAAAACCACAAGGACAATCATACACTTAAAACATAAAAACAGGGGAGTAATTTTTTTAGGAAAGGTCAAAAAGGTATAGATATTTTATATAATTTAATACTAATTTAGTTTTAACTAATCTTTCTAATATATAAAAATCGTAATAATCACTCCAATTACTTTTACAAAGAAGAAGAATACTGATCTTTTGAAATTTACTATGCCATTCATTTAAAGTATTTAAACGAATAAAAAGTGTCACAGATAGATTCTTAAAACAAGAGGCAATAAAGGCAATAAAGTCAAAACGAGTAGATGGTATTTTATTAACAAAAATCTTGATAAAAAAGACACTTAAAAAGTGCCTCTATCGTTAATTTTTAGTTTGTTTAGCAATTGTATTGTTAAATTAATCAAGCGTTTGGGCCGACTATTATATCCTCTCAGTTATTTAAATATTGTAATAATATTTATCTTAATAATCTACAAAGCTTTAAAACATTACATATATCGACATATCAATGTCAGTTTATCGAGGTGTGGAACAAAAGAATCTAACAAGAGATGCAAATGAATCTCAATGTCCGTATTAAATCATCACGATGATCGACAATCGTTGAATAATTCATGTAAACATGCCAGCTAAACTCACCTGTAAATCGGAAGATCTCTTATCGAAGTGCATTCGAATGTGCGTCCTCATTCCTCTTAAGGTGTTTCCTTTGTATCGACAGATAGTACACCTGTACGCTTTTACTCCAGTATGAGATTCCATGTGCCTCTGGGCCGCACTAGCCGTGGGACTGACGACGTCACAACAAGGACATTTCCATCCTGTAAGGGTGGCCGCGTGGGGGATGCACTGGTGGCCCGGTTCAGCGATGCCCTTGCACTTGCCGCATTTTCTCACCTCGGTGTCGCCGCGCTTTAGACAATAGTAGGCTTGATGGGCGTTGAGGTTGTCCAAAGAAGTGAACTTGATACCACATGCCAAACAGATGAGTTGTTGGTATTGCGCAGCTGGGCTGGTGGTTTCGATACTATTAGGACTCACCGGAGGGCTACCGGAGAATTTGGAGAGGTTTTCGTCCTGACTGCGGGCCGAGCAGTAGTGCTTTTTGTGAATAACGTAGTTTTCGAGCTTGCAGAACACTATATTACAGTCTTTACATTTAGAAACGCCTTGCTTCACAAGCACTTGGGGCATTACTGCGGGCAGAGAAGGTTCTAGTCTCATTTGAACTTCGGGTGGTAGGAGGGGTAGAGATCCTCTCATTAGTAATGGATGTAATGAGGGATTTCCTTCGAAGTGTTGAAAATTGTTTACTTCTGGACTTGTTCTCGACTTTTCTTGCGTCGGTTTTAGCACAGATCTAAGTCTCTTGGGGCTGCTGCTTCTTGAAGCTTCATCTTTGATTTTCGGCGAAGGTGACGATTCACAATGGGAGACTGGTGTGGTTGGCGGTGAGTTTTGTGAAGAAGGAACAGATTTGCTCTTGTCAGGAGTCAAAGATTTATTGGGTGTGTTCCTTCCTCGATCTTCAGAAAAGTCGATGATCAGATCATTATTGTCAGGAGATTTTCTTACACTTAAGTCTAATGGCGCCGAGGAAGTTTCCCGAACAACAGGTGGTTCTTTGGCTTTACTATCGTTTCTATTACCTTCAGATTGCTGCTGCTGATATTGATTAAGCAAAGCACTCGTCATTGGTTGAAGAGTACCATTAGGAAGCAAGAAGCAGGGAGTATCGGGGTTTGGAAGCCCCGAAGCAACAGAAAGGGCTGGAAAGACGCTCGCACTTCGAAACAGTGAATATGGCACAATTATTATAGGATTGGTTGGTAAAGCCAAGAAAGGCTGCTGCGAAGCGTTTTGCGACGAAGGTGAAGAGGGAGATCTGCAGGGTCTAGAATCGATGGGTGAAGTGGGTGACGATCCAGACGTACTTGACGAAGCTTTTGTTGTCACCACTTGTGGTTTTATCGTATGCCTCGAATTACAGTAGTGTAACTTATGGGCACGATATGTCTTCTGGGAACTAAACCTAATATCGCATTCTGCACAATAGCGATCAGTACTATTACTGCCACTCTCTCCATTTGGCGTAGTTACTATGTTCAGGGGACTAGGACTAGGAGATACTGTGTGCATTCTCATGTGGCGGTTCAAGCTGACCTTCTTATCAGCGCTGTACGAACAATGGGTGCATGTATATTGTTTACCGGTGCGGATATTTTTCTGAGGGGGTTCTGATACGTCAGCATCGGATTGGTTTCCATTTGGATCGGTAACTGATTTCGAGTCATCGTCAGTTGCTGCTTTATTTACACGATGCGAGCAATAGTACGTTTGATGTGCTTCTAAAGTGCTTATAGATGAAAATCTGATCCCGCAAGGAGAACATTGAAATATTGGAACTGTTTGCTGCCTCGTTTCCACAGATTCCGATTGCGGTTCTGCACCAGGAATTATATTCGGCAGGAAAAATCCTCTTGACACCAAAGCAGTTTGTAAAGCTGGTCTGAGTGCCGTTAAATATCCACTGGAAAACTGGGAAACTTCAGATTCCACTTTGGGGTTAGTCAAAGTGATGGGCTGGCTTTGTAAGGCGGGATCGGTCGCTAAGTTAGCTTTTAACCGTATTCTAGGTGTTTTTTCTTCCGTTTCATTCTTCACCGAAATTTGCGTACTTTCCTCGGTGGATTCTTCTGGAGTTGCTGTCTTCGGCGGGGGCGATTTCGATGGTGGGTTTGTGGAAGCTGCGTTGTCGGCTGGGTCGCTATTCCAGTCTTCGACCTCCCCTGTAACAACAAAAAATAAATATTAAAAAAAAAGAAAATATACAAAATTCAAATTTAAATAATAATTTTCAAATAAAGTTCAATTTTGGTGCCCAAAAAAAAAGTTTTGAAGAATTGTTGCTTCAAAAGCTTAAGGCACACCCCTTGTATCTATATGCAATAATTTGTTTTCTTTGTGGCATAAGGATACACAGACCTTTTAGAGATTTTAATTAAATTCGATTTTACGTGCTCGATTTCAGTTTAGTTTAGTGCCAAATCGTGATATTAGTGATCAAATATTAGACAAAAATCAATTAGTTAGCATCACTGATACAGTTTATATTAAAGTAGCAAGACGACCTGGGTTTACTTTATTAGTATTAAATTGTACAATCAATTAAAAATTGTAATTTTTAATCCGTTTTTGTAATCCGTCTTTCTGTTGGAAAATTGTACACAAAAAATCAGTTATGATAATGCAGCGGTAACTTGACACCACATGGCGATCCTGCTTATGAAGAATAAGAATCATCTGACCCATAGCAAAGTAAAATAGGAGGAAAAAATGATGAACAATCAAAATAAGGGAAAAGAAGAACATTCATCAATCAGGCTGGCAACAGTGCAAGTAACATGGCTCAGACTGAAACCGGGAAGGAGAAAATATCAATTCCCGAGATACTAGAAGTAAGAGCGTTCGGCCTAGCCATTATCTTCGTCGCTCGCATGGATGCTATACAAAAGATGGAAAAATCAGCTGAGACGGAAAATTCGCCAGGAGACCTCCGAACCAATAGAACTACTTAAGCTGGACTTACCTGAGCCACCCCGTAGAGGAACAACCAGAGACAAAAGTGTGCACAGAGATTGTGAGTAAAAACCCGATTTCATTTTTTATTATGATACACTTTTTTACTATAAATTTTGCATAGAACAAAGTACATATTGAAAATGTAACTAATGCAAAAGCAAAATTACAAGAATTACAAAATTAGTAAGGAAGACAAATTTAGAGGACTTCTTGGAAAAACTAACAATTGCACAAGCAGAAGGAGATAGAGAAGCAGAAAACATAGTAGCTAAAGTAAATAAAAATTGCAATAAGTGTAGAAAATCAATTTTTATTTATTTTCTTTAAGACAGTCCGTAGTGATGATGTTCTCTCGACAAGCCGTTTGTCCTTAGGTGGATCTCCATTCTAATACATTTTTTTCCAGTTTTTATATAAGTAAAAACAAACAAAAGAATGAAAAACAAATACGAAATCATTAAGATCTTATGATAATACATGCGCCAAATATTGACGACATAAATTGAGCTCATATAGTGCACTGTTTACTGTGGCTATTGGAATACAATGTTAGAAATAGATTTTTTCTTATTTGAAAATGTTGAAATGTGTCCCCAAGACTAGTACTTAGAAACATGATTTCGATAAGGTCCGTGGCGAGTGAGTCTCTGCGATGGTGGCGAATGATAAGCAATAAAATACGTGCCAGAATTCACGAGTTACGGCCAAAAGAGAAGAAGAATTAAATAGCAAACAGGTTGTTATAAATGCATCGGTGATAAGAGGGAGATGTACACGGATCGGGCATGTCGAAACTCTACTTTAATGAAGCAGTCTATCAGAGAGCGTCCTACGCGGATACTTCATGCTAACCACATCGCATCCTCCGCATTAAATGCATAGTGTCTTCGTTCTTCACTTAGATTTAGATACAATTGATTTGTTGGCCGGTCCCAGTCGAGGAAATATAACGGGAACATTGCCAATCGATGGCAATTGTTTATTTTTTTTTTAACAAATCGAAACCATCGATCAAAATCGTACTTAGGGTAGGCCATGAATTATCTTATATGTACGATTTGTTGGTAGTGCAAGTACCACCGTGAATAACGTGAAATTTATGGCTTGCAGATTGATTGAAATAAAAAAGGGGTGTCCAGTATAGCAAAAATAAACGAATATTTCTGCGACAGAGACTTAAACGTAAACAAAATAAATCCCGGGCCTAATCATGAGATGACGACTCTAATGAATTATCTACTTGACATTTCAATAGTGTCAATCTTCTAAACGGGTATTTTTTAATGAAAAAACTGAGCTAATGCTACAGGATTCTTGTATATACAGCCAATTAAACACTAATCCAATGGTAAGAATACAAAGTAAATTCAATGATATTAAAAATCTCAAATACATAAATAAGATAGATGCTAATGTAGCAAAACAACTGATTATACGCAACCTGATGTTTCTAAAGTTATACTGTCTAGCAAAAATTCACAAAAGTAATATTCCTCTTCGCCCTATCATCGACTCTATCAACTCCACTATTTACAACCTCTCCAAATACTTGGCTAACATCCTAACTACTACTTTTGAAGATAAAACCAACTACAATGTGAAAGATACATGCACGTTTGTCGAACAAGTCCGGAATGTTACAATCCCTCAAACGTATGTACTTATATCCCTAGATGCGGTATCGCTTGTCATGAATATTCCTCTAAAGTGGGGATCCTACAGCTTCTGCCGCTTCCCGCATTTCGATCGTCATCATTTTCTATCTCTCCAGGTGTTTTCATCAACGGCTCTGTCTTTCACGGTTTCCATAACACCTTGTATCCAAGACTTGGCTGGTCTTCCTCGTTTCCTTTTATTACTTGGATTGTATTCCATAGCTCTTTTTGCCATCTGTTGTCGTCCATCCTCTGTACGTGTCCATACCATATTACCTGTCTAGTTTCTATTCTTTCAGTAGTTGTATGTGCTCTATCTGTTTTTTATCTAATTTCAGAATTAGGTATACGTTCTACTCTTGATATACGGCAAACTCTTCTCAGGTAGTCCATTTCAACCGTGTCAACTTTTTTTGTTTCCTTTACTGTCATTTGCCAACATTCTGCTCCATATGTAAGAATGGGCTCTACAATTACTTTCTTGATAGTCATTTTAGTTCTCATAGTAGCTTTTGGATCAAAGTATCGAATTCAGAATTTGAACACTCTTCCTGCCTTGTTGCACTCTATAGTCTATATCTCGTTCCGTTGTTCCTTTACTGCAGATAATACTTTTAAAATATTTGTATTCGTAGCACCTTTTCATTTGTCTAATTTCCAAATCCGGGTCTTCGTCTTAACTGCTTATTCGCATATATTCTGTTTTTGACATATTCATACTCATTCCCATTTTTCGTATTCATCTTTGAGCTTTCTAAGCATATAATCTGCATCTTCTTCACAGCTTGCAATTAGTACTTGATAATCTGCAAAGAACAGCGTTGTCAGATAATGGTTGTTAAGCTTCAACCCAATTCCCGCACATTTTGTCTCCATTGGTGCAGTGCTTCTTGGATATATATTTTTAAATAGGGTGGGAGAAAGACAACATGCTTGTCTCAAGCCTTTCGTTACTGTAAATACCCTTGAGAAAGTATTTCCTGTTTTTACCGTGCTTTGATGACATTTATAGATGTTCAGTATTGCTTTTAGATGTGTTTTTACTATATATATTATAAATATATATATAATATATATATATATATATATATATATATATATATATATCTATAATATATATATAATATATATATATATATATATATATATAATATATATATATATATATATATATATAATAGGAATATTCCTCTAAACTTAATCATTAAAATTTTAGAACAAAATTTGCACTTAGAGTGGAACCAAATATCACATTAAGTAAGAATAATTTCGTTAAGTTGGTCGACTTAATTTTTTCTACTTTGTACTTCTCCTTTGGTGGAAGTTTTTACTCACAAACCTTTGGCATTCCTATGGGCTCTCCAATTAGCCCCATTGTAGTCAACATAGTTTTAGATCATCTATTTAATATAGTAATTTTATAACTACTACCGTTCAAGTTAACGTTCGTATACAAATATGTGAATGATGTGAAAAGTGCAATCCCCAAGGACATTAAAGAATAAGATCATTCTAGATTGGTATTAGAAACCAACTGACTGGAAGATTTATAAATTATTTTTCTTAGCTTTCAAAAAGCCAAATGCATAACATTGTTGTTGTGATGAAGAACAGAATTTTGCATATTAACTATGATATTTCTGTACAGAAGAATTTAAAAACATTATATAACGTATTTTTGAACAACGGCTATCCTAGTAAAATTCTCAAGCAACCAATGTACAACTCAGACTTATATGAGAGTTCCCGTTTTTTACAAAAATTTACATTACGTAAATGGCTTAACCAACAAGACAATCAAACTGCTGAGGGGAATTCCCAAAATCAATATAGTTAAATATAACAGCAAACGAAATTATAGCTTATTCTCGAAGCTTAAAGACCAGACACCGCTTGTACATTAGAATCGTCTTATCAAGAACTATTTCTTCTTGAATGTGATGGGCAGTATATAGGGCAAATATCGCAGTAGATAAAACAAAGAATAACGCAGCACAAAAGAGATTACAAAACAAAGAAAACTTCTTGTGCAAAAGCATACGATTCCAACACAACAAACCTCACATTTAATTTATCAGATGCCAAGATCATGGATATAGAAAATAACTATAAAACAAGACTATTTCTCGAAATGTACCACATAAACAAAAAATCAAATAATTATAAGACATACACTTCTAACTAAATCAGTGCCGCTTTGCTCGTTCGTAGAATTCCATGTGGGGCGCTCGGTAATTTGTTTCCTAAAATAAAATACACCATTTCGGAGGTGAAAATATTGTGAATGTTAGGTTTTATCTAATTATTAGCTAATTTTAGAGTACGTTACTCATGAAGTTAAAAAAAATGAAGAATCAACGAAATATCGAACTGATGAAATAAATGTAGTTTCAATTTAAGCCGCAGATCGCAGTCCCGACATTTCAACACGGTTCCTTATTATTTTATAATATACTTGTACGGTCTATAATTACGAAAGATTTTGAATACAAATCTAGTTGTCAGATACTTTTGGATCTGTCTTTGTATATTATTGCCGAGAACATTACCCACAACACAAACAATATTTTTATAAATACTGTTTTTTAGTATAATTTGTCCCTCTAGTAGTAAACTAAGAATTCTAATTGCGATAGAAGATAATAACGTGCCGATGATTATTGGAAGAAACATATTTTATCTATTGTCGATGGAGTTTTTGATTACTCACAATGGAAACCAGATAAAATCAGTGTTTAACAATAAAACCAACAAGCGATTATCGATATTGTGAATCAGAAAATCGAGAAAACATAATTTTATTGATAATTAAAAACAGATAATGGTACTCCATATTTCCATTTATATATATTTTTTGTTGTATATAATAATCACTTATTTTGATGTGTCAGAGGTAAATTTATCGAACTAGAAACCCATATTCTGGTATTTTATTTGTAATTGTAGATGTTGGTATTAATAAATGGCTATCATTATGCCTTATGTATGCTTTTTAGTGACTCTTGTAAATTTTTTTTTTATTATAATGAAATGAACAATCAATCTATAATAATAAAATCGTCCCAAGAAATGAACTTACTTAAAATGCTGACAAATCTCCTTTAAGTAGCAAACTTATAATAATAAATATGTATAATACGTTGGCAATTCAATAAATGCACCATCAGTTCCTCATAACCATTGCTGGTTATTGCCCACTGCATCCTTAAGCTTACATATACAGTAATGTTTATTTTACGGAAGTTCTATCCAGTCATGTTCTATTTTCCATAATGTAAAAATAATTTTTCCGTAACTCAATTCAGTCTCTTGCATAATTAGATAAACTCTTTTAAAAGGAAAGGCAGTTAAGATTTGATTAATATATAGTGCCCCTGTATATTTGCTTATACGTATTTCATCTTAAAAGGAATCATCGCAGCGAC